GGTTCTCGGAAAATTTATTGATGTTGTGTCTTGCAGAGATGTATCAGATATATGATATGTGTGGAACAACAGCAAAGTTTGGTACTGTGATGGTTGTCCTCTCGGCCTACTAATACTGGGTCACATTGATAGACGCCTTGTAATTTGCTTGGAAGTCGGGTGATTGATCACCCAAACAAGCACGCTCGCGTTCGGTGTTTTTGCGAGCCAAGCCGACTCTCTAATGTAGATCTCCGCTAAACGAGTATACGTAGGTGAGCGTTACTTGTTCATGGTTATAAATAGGCCGCTCTAACCGAGCTTCTGTTACTATTTGCGATGAGTTTTCTTGTTTGGTGTCCTTGAAATGCTATGATTAGGTCGATACCGGGTAAATTCGACGATTTATTTGGGGGAAATGACACCTACACAAAACATTGGCCCCTCGTTTGAGGCCTCGTCATTGGCCCGCAGATCTTTGTGAGCTGGCACCCAACAAAACTATGTGGGTCTACGAGCGTATAGCTTAATGTTTCATTGCTTTCACCTAGGTAAATTGCGACGACAGGGAACACCGGTTCATTCACGGTTTGTCATCGGTAAGATTGAGGCTTCCCTCTTCATTTCAGAACCTCACTCAGCTCGCCCCTGAAGCCAAAAATGCGGTGCTTGGCTACACACAGATACCACCCGGGTGCTGCATTGAAGACCACCTGAGCATTCTACATACCACAGGCGCAAATCCAGAAGCGCGATTAGGGGCTGTTTCTGGGACCCTCGGGCTCCTTCTGGGAGTATATATACCCCACCTCTGGAACTGTAGGCGGCCAGTGTGGTTACTCGTTCACATCGCTCCCAATATGAAGCCCTCCGTCTGCATTACTTTGCTCGCATCTGCGGCATCAGCCCTTGCCCAGTGTAGCCTTCCTTCCTCCTACCGCTGGACCTCCTCTGGCGCGCTCGCCAACCCCAAGTCTGGCTGGGTTTCGCTCAAGGACTTCACCACTGTCCCTTACAACGGAAAATACCTCGTCTACGCCACCACCCACGGCCCCACCAGCGGTTCATATGGATCTATGGGTTTCAGCCTTGTCAACAATTTCAACGAGTTGGGCTCCGCTACCCAGACTGGTATGAACGAATCCACCGTCGCACCATCCCTCTTCTACTTTGCCCCCAAGAAAATCTGGGTTTTGGCCTACCAATGGGGTGCCACTCCGTTTTCATACAAGACGAGCAGCGACCCCACCAACCCCAACGGCTGGTCGGGAGCCAACCCTCTCTTCAGCGGATCCATCACTGGATCTGGCACCGGCGTCATTGACCAGGCCGTCATTGGTGACAGCCAGAACATGTACCTCTTCTTCTGCGGTGACAACGGCAAGATCTACCGCGCCTCCATGCCCATTGGCAACTTCCCTGGCAACTTCGGCACCAACTACGAGACCATCTTGTCTGATTCCACCAACAACCTTTTCGAGGCCGTACAGGTCTACACCGTGAAGGGCAAGCAGCAGTACCTCATGATCGTCGAGGCTATTGGCAGTCAAGGTCGTTACTTCCGTTCGTTCACGGCTACAAACCTCGGTGGCAGCTGGACGCCTCAGGCCACTTCTGAGAGCAGCCCATTCGCTGGAAAGGCGAACAGCGGCGCGACCTGGACGAACGACATTTCGCATGGTGATCTCGTCCGTGATAGTCCTGACCAGACAAACACCATCGACCCTTGTAACCTGCGCTTGCTCTACCAGGGCAGGGCTACCAACTCTGGTGGTGACTATGGCTTGCTGCCTTACCGCCCCGGTCTCTTGACCCATGCATGAACTCGTCGCATGTACATAGTGCCTAGATTACTTTGTAATTCTCAGGGCGCCATTTATTTGCTTCCAAGTAGCTGCTACATATTACGTTGTACTCTTCGTCACTGCTCATTAATCATTAACTTTCTCCTGCTTTACTCGATACATTTATGCGCGACCGGGAAAGCCTGACCTGAAGCTCTGCCAACTAAGCGATTCAGAATCCCAAAACTCAAGACTTGAGCTCAAACCTATGACGTTGGAGACGTTGGGTCTGCCTAGCGGCAAGCGCGTTGGATGGGAATGAGTTGGGATCACGACCCCGAGTCTCGCTGTAGTGTACATCATCGTCTGAGTCTAGTCTAATCTAATGTCCAATAATCTAATCTATGGTTCCCCCTGTCCGATCTCTTCCCCCTTTGTGTTTTCTGTTTCCTCTCTCCCCTCCTATTCCGCTCTAGTGCTCTCTGATCCTTGAGCTGCTCTTCCCTCTTCGGGGTCATGTGCACATTGCACTGCCACAACGTTCGAGATTGTTTCCAGTTCCCAAAAGCTTCTCACCACGCTCTCAAAAGGTGAACACTGCGAAGAAGAGGGCTGGGAAGAGGGACGAGCTCGACGTGTGTTGATATCTGGGATAGAATCGTTGGAATGTGTATCAAGGGTTTTGAACTGGGTCATAGACTGGAAGTTGTCGAAGAATTTGACACAAAATGTCGTCTGCCATTGTGCAAAAAGGGGACAAGCAGAAACGACAGGCAAAGACCTGCTTTGCTAATCGTTTCAAGTCCTCTCGAGTTTGGGAAGATTCTTCGTCCATTTGGGAGCTCTGTTCGTGGATCGCGCTCTCCTTTGCCCGAATTTCATCCTGGAATTTTATGTCCACTTGTGCTTCGATGGGTGTCAGTTTTGTATTACAAGCAAGGTGTTGGAGAAACGATGGTGGTAATTACATAAATTAATATCTAGGTATGAGAACGACGGGGTTGTGAAGGTCTGTGTGCGCCCACACAGATCGCACTTCGAATTCTTGGTCATGTAAGCGAGGCAACCATTGGCAACTCGTCCACCTCTCATTCTCGTTGTACGTCTTATTATTATGACTTCATTTCGCTTTCCAGTCGATGCGAAGATTTATCGCTCGGCTCAGTATCTTTTTTATTTATTTTCTTCTCCCATCCACCCTCTATACACATTCCTCATCTTTTATAGAGATGTCATAAATTCATTTGTATGTTTGCACGTCACACCCTCGCCCTCGCCCACCCGTTCCCGCTGTTCTTCAGGTCTTTAATCATATCCTCCCATTTGATTCGACGTCGACCGCTTCCCCTATTGATCACCGTCAATTGTTTCTGTTTCGCTTTGTACTGTTAAGCAGCTACTACTGGGCGTCTCATTATCAACAATCCCGGATCTCAGAGTGTCCGACGTAGAACAATTTCATGATTTGTTTTCCCCCTTGTCATTTGAAGCATTTTCATTCATTCACACCAGTCTTGGGGTCTTCTTTGGCTCGTCAGGTTCATTCTCTGTCCCTCCATCTCAATGGGTGAGAATCTATTCGCCTTCGAGCTTACCTCACGCCAACCAGTCATCATTAATTCTAGCCTCTCTATCCTTTTACCTCGCTAACTACGAATTACAGTAATTCATGAACTATTTTGATACCCATTTCGTCCGTCTCAATCTCAATTTCGATTCTTCAAACCTCTCTCAAAATAACTGGATATCGATAAATACACAAAATTGTCACTTCTAGATATTCGAGTTCAAAAATCGAACCATAGGAAGTGAATGGTCAAACGCTCTGGTACACAGATCATAAAGCTCGTCAGGGCCATTGGCCAGACTAGGTGGAAGAATAAAGGGGCTATGTGGAGATCAGTAAGTACCAGATGAAAGGATGTAAAGGGTACGTACTGGCCGAAATAAAAACAAGCTCTCTCCATGATAGTGAGGTATGTCACGAACACTTCCTCATGATCATGATGCGCGTTTGGTTGTGAATATTTCAAGTAAGATGGAGGGTAGTCGAGGTACATGTCCGACTCACACACCACCTTCGAGTATAATTCGAATATCCGGGTAATGACCGAACGCGCTTTCACGGCGTGTGCCACACGAACTGGACCTCTGATTACCCCGAGCATCTTGTCCAAAACAAGGATACTCAAATCCAGGCTGGATCGGATCACCAGTAAGCAGCGTTCCCTTTTCTGCCAATTTTTTGGTGTCGGGTCATCCAATGAGCGAAGAAGATACAAGGCTTCATCCATACTCTGGTACAGCAGGTCAGCCAGTTTTGGGATGAAGGTCATAGTCGGCGAGCTGATAATTCTATGCAGGTAGCGGTCTTGAGCCTCGACGTCCTGCACCAAGGCAATAGAACTGGTGGAACCAGGATTGCAGTCAAGCAGGTGAGAGAGGAAGCCGAGTGTCCACGCGCAATTATGGCAAGCTTCAAATCGACCCTTAAGTTCTTTGCTACATGCACAAGGCACGGGTGGCATATTTTGGTCAAGCGGCGAGATAGCGTTTATGATGGGGGATATACTGAAAGCTGTTGAGTAGCTATAGGTTTTCGAAGGCACTAAATACATAAGCGTTATCATCTTTTTCTATGTTTTAGTGCCCTCTGCAACAGCAACCCCAATGAGCTACTAGCACCAACCGATGATCAGACTATACTGCAACGGTGCAAACGATGCCAGATCGTGTATTGTCTCGCAGATTTTTTTATTGAAGACATAAAGCACTCCGATGGCATAAAGCGAATTGTTTGAGGTGACCATGATTGCTTTCGTTGTCTCGTTACCAGGATAAACGCTGATCGGACTGCACCATGCCAGAGTAACATGTGCAAAAACAGCGTATGGGTGCATGGGTGGCACTACGATTCTTCCCGTGAATTACCTTTCTGGAATTCTCCCAGTGAAGTGAATACCTGAGCTGTATTTATGTAGGCGGAAGCAATTACGATGGCAGGGCATTGGAGTAGACCCGGAGAGAAAAACAGTTAGACTTGCCCCGTAGGACTAGTACTGCGTATCATATAGAGCAGTCATTAGTCGCGTGGGCTGATGGTATCACTCTGCGGCCTGCCAGTGGGGAGAAAACAGAAAGAGTAGCTCTACAAGAAATACACACGTCTGAGGCTGCTAAGTAGAGCATTCGAGGTGAGGTAGAGCAGCATGACACCTTTCTATCAGCAAAAAGTATTGACAACAGAGGGATTCGAACCCTCGCCCTTTCGGACCAGATAGAACCAAGGAAGCTCCTGATTCTGGCGCCTTAGACCACTCGGCCATATTGCCATGGAAACTGGAGGTGAACGTCCACGCAGGAAGCGCCTGCATACTAGTAATTTGCTTCTGATCAACGTCGCTGGTTCGAGACTCCCATTGGCAACGAACTAATCTGGATACATTCGCTCATATATGGTGCGGTAAATTTATTTGGTGCCCTAAGCAATAAACCGTAGCTGCAGTCTACATTTTAGTGTTACGAAGGCTTGTGCTATGTTTCTGAGGGTTCACTTTTGTAGCAGTCAGCCTTCCGAATTTGTGTTGAGTCTAACGCGCCAGCCTCCCAAGGCCACACCTTTATTAAATTTCGACCCCAGGATTAGTTCTGATGTTCTTCCTCGTAACTTCAAACCATCATATCTACCCCATGATCGCATAACTAATCCATCCACCAAATAATTCGTCGCGTGGTTTCCCCTACTCTGAAGTCTCCATTCACCACAAGTCTCAATAGTATCTCACAATGCCCAGCATCATTCCTATCCGCAACATCACGCCTCTCTTCGCTCTGTACAACGACTCGTCAACCACACCATCGGCTGACAGCTCAATAGCTCAACCCACAGCCTCATCAGCCTCATCTCATTCCTCACCCGCCCTTCCAGAACCTTCGAGCACACCCTCTCCAATCCCTATCGCTGAATCTCCCACCCCATCTTTGCACTTTGCACCAGCATCGCCTGGCACCTCCCTCCCCATATCTTCCTCACCACTCACCCCAACTCACGTCCCCTTCCATGTTCGCCCCCTCAATCACCTCAACATCTGGGCCTACCTCGCACTCGCATTCCTGATGTTAGCGCTCACCACTATTGTGGCATACTGCACTTATGCATGTTACCATTCAGCAAAGAAAGACACGTCGAGGGATGCAAAGAATCCAGATGGATGTGACAACAATGGGGCCGATCCAGAGAACGGCCAGGAACGGGGAGAAAAGCTCGGATTTGGCGCGGGTGGTCTGGAAGCAGGACCTGGTAAAGGAGGTGCAAGGGATTCCCAAGGACCAGATACCTCCGAATCATCGTTATTCCCTCCCCACACCCAATTATACCACATGCACCAACCAACCCACCAGCTACACTACGGCACATCCAAAGATACCGAATGGCATTCCCCAACCGAAGAACTCTCCATAAACTCGATGGTCGAGAACAATCCGAAACGATTCAGCGAGGCAGAAGCGACATGCAACTTCGTTTCAGGTATCAAATCGACTTCAGAGCATCCTTCGAAGCCAGGTTCAATGAGTGAGAGTAGCGGTGGGAGGTCGGGAAAGCAACTCAAATATTCCCTCAAACCGAGCTTCCTGCGTACCAAAACCAAGAAGCTTCAAAAACGAGGAAGTCTGAAAGGGTCGAAGAAGGGGGTATCCTTCTCAGCATTTCGAAGTGGCATGGGGAGTATCAGCGCTGGGTTTAAATCTGTAAGACGATCAGGTATGAGGGGACTGGGGATTGGTATGACTAGGGGACCTGAGAGTGACGACTCGGACGCATGTGTGAGTTATTTTTCTATACGCTTCACTGTCAACGACTAACCATAATGACCACTTGTAACATCGGTTCTCATAGACTGAGATGATCCAACTTCGCACATACCACAAGCACAAGCACACCAACCGTCAAGGCAACTCCCCTCAGACATCCATAACAGCATCGCTCTCCAATCCAACCTGTGCTTCGTCGTCCCTTGAAGGAGCAGGGTCCATTACTCAATCGAGTTCTTCAGCTGGGGCTTCCTCCTCAACCCATGATCGATCATACGCTATCGTAGGATCTTCCAGCGCAAACGAATCCTCCGATGACATACACAATCTCAACGTCCATCTGCTTCGAAGCAATCCCAATTTCAATTCCAACCTTAACAACTCCTCTTCCAATCATACAAATGTCGACGGTGGCTCCCACATTTTAACCTCTTCCCCTGTTGGTCCATTCGCAGCTACGAATTCAACCCACCTCCCCTTCCATCTGCGTCCACCGCCCCCGTCGCCCACCCCCGCACATAAACAGAACGTCGAGCGACAATATGCTGCATATAGACGCTCGAAGGGTTTCAAGCTGAGATCGAAAGGTGAAGCGGGCGCTGGGAGTGTATCGAAAGGGCACGATAGCGGTGCTGGAGAGAGTGTGGGGAGGGAGCTCGATCTTACCCATTCGCCTGTCAGCCCGAGTCCCAGTCCATGTCCAAGCTTCATGGAGCTGATTGGGATGTCTGTAAAGGAGGGTCTAAAATTAGGGCTGGGTCTAGGAAAGAGAAAAGTTGGCAACACATTGCCATCCCTTCCATCTTACAGCTTCACCAGCACCAAAAACGTCCCCGAATCGCCTGTTCCCTCGAGCAAGGACGTAGGAGTAACTTACGACGCGCACAACATCCGATTCGCACAACCACCACAACTTCCAAGTGCAGCAAATGGGCCAAACACACCCATTTCCCAGTCTCCGCAGATGGCAATGCTGTGGAAGGAGCCGAAGTTGTCCCCCATCTCAGGCGAGATTATCAGCACCTTCAGCGGTTTTAGGAACTCAGCAGGCAATACTGCTGGCCGAGGCTTGGGCACTACCATTTCGTCTGCTCCCCTCGCTCTCCCCATATCCAGTCCTATCCGTAGTCCTGTCCTCAGTCCCAGTCCCAGTCCCACTTCAGCCACGGCTGCGAGCACGAGTGGTTCGGAAGCCATAACTGCGACGCAGGCTAAAGTGGGACAGTCAACGACACCCAGCAAAGCTAAAAACAGTGGTCGACTTCATGGGCTTGGGCTTTTCAAAGGCAACACTCCGAGCAGGTCACCTAGCCCTAACAAATCGCCTACAAAGAGAAACGGACTTCTGACTGGAGGAGGAGGGGGCTTCAGTCTTGCCCCGACAATGCGTGGCCCACCGCGTTTGCAAACTGGAGCTGGAGCTGGCAAGGGTCTCGGTCCTAATGGCGGGAACGGTGGGGGAGGAGGCATCAATATTGGTGGTGTTATAACTCCTGAGGCAGCTCGTGCCAGGATGCAGACTTTGAAGAAGCTCACAACTGGTGATTGATTGATAGTGTCGGGTAGTAGTTCTGAGGGATGGTTGGGCTGTACCAGGGGTTAAGTTTTGGGTTGAGGCGTTCTACAAAAGGATATGATGACAAGCGGTGGACAAAGGTATGATCGTAATAATAATAAGTGTACATGGTAATGCTTTCGACCATTTTTATCCTCTCATATTTTCTTGGGTTTAGTGAATTGCGATAGGGTACTTACAGTACTTGCGTTTATAGTCAAACGAACTTTGAACAAATTATCGAAGATTTGCGCAACTCGTGACGCCGTTCCGAGTATGCTGGGTTTGTAGCGTTACGTGCATCAACTGGTGACCTGTCGCACACATGAGTGCTTGTATTGAAGTGGACCATGTATTCGAATGCGTGTGTGAGAAGATAGGATTCAGAAAGGCCCAAGTGTGGATGTGCAGATTGAAGGACATCAACGTATGAAACCAACGAGAGCCAACACTTTGCACTTTGCACACAGGAGCTGACCTTTTTTACCCACGGTCGTAACCTGGACAATTCTTCAAAATTGAAATACTTTGTTGGTAACTACACCAGACCGCATCTCGTCCTCAAGCTGGTTTGTTTTCACTTTATAATGAAATTTTATAAGAGAAGTGTCACCAATGGTGTTGATTCCGTTTCACAGCTCTAAGTTGGGTGCATCAGCCTTTGTAGTGCGACCGGTCGGGGGGATGCACCGCATTCATTTGTGTTGCTGAGCACGCAGCTGGTATGCACCTTGTCATAAACTTTCAAGCAGAAGATAGATATTCAACTCTCAGAAGAGCTTTAGCGTTATGTCTCGACCCTGCATATGATAGCCATTACATGCTCTTTACGTTTATATTATTTGTATTTTAAATTTAATTTCTATGTGGAGTGCGGGTCTTGTTGATTAGATATACTTGTCCTGGTTATTGTTAAAATATTCGCTTTAAGATAATTGTATGTAGATAATGGTGTCGTTTTATCGTTCAAGCCGTGCTAGGAATATCTCTCTGAATTCGATTGTGTCCCTTCACAGGTTCATGCTTCTGGGCTAGTTTTAAGAGTATGTCGCGATGGCGAGTTCGAATGCCTGATTGACGGTGTCGATGATCGAAAGAGAGGCCAGTCTCGTATCGCCCTGCGGAAACCAATTAGTGGGTAACATCCTCTCGGCCATAAGAAGCCGCGGACTTACACTCGCACCAGCGAGGATAACATCTTGCAAGTTTTGTGACGTAATCTTCAGATCCAACAGGTCCCTTCGAATGAGAGCAGTCATGCCTTGTTCAGCAAAGGCAGATATAATGATCCTTTGGGTAACTATGTCATTCAGAAATTCGACAATTATATCCGCAAGGCCATAGCTCGCAGACAAAGCGTCCTCTTCATAGTTCCGCGAAACGAGGCTAGATTCCACAATCTCTAATCATGCTTGTAGCCTCCAAATAACCGATTAAGTGATCCGAAGTTAATTTACCTTAGCGTTGTCGGTTGCAGTGTTGATCGCGACAAGGACACTACGCATGACAATATGAATGTCCTTTGAGTTCAATCAGTAAACAAAGGTTTAAAAACAGTCGTTGAAGTAGAAACATTACCCAGGTACCTGTCGAGTCGCTGGATGTCTTCAGAGCCTTGATCCACTGGTGCAAAGTGGCGACCTGGGATGAGATATTTATGACATCCGAAATAACCTGCGCCTGCTCTGGGGTTGTAGCGAAGGCCGCGAGTAAACTAGAAAGAACAGCAAGGCTAATGAGTAGTTTCATGGGGGATAGGATGTTGATACCAACCGTTCGATGCAAGCTCGTTTTTCGTCTTATAGCTCTGGGTGCGACCACGTAATTAAGTCAACCCAGTGGCGTACCGAAAATATTTTGGGTCAGGACATATCGTGAACTTCGGCACCAACTCGCCTCGCAAAACACACGACTGATGTTGAAGGAAAATACCCTCATGTCCTGGTAGGTATCCGCGCACGCTCT